TCTGGATGGTTAGAGCACTGAGTCCAATCTCATTTGACAGGTGAGGAAACTGAGGAAATCTAGCCTCCGAAGCACAGGTCTGAGCAGAGCCAAGGATCAAGCATGCAGAGAGAGGCTCAGAAATATTAAATAGTTAGTTCTCTTTTGGGAGGCCTCAACTTCCCTTGCTGTAAAATGAAAAGATTGGACTAAACTGGTGGTTGAGGGGGTTTTTTGTTGTTTGTTTTTTTGCAAGGCAATTGAGGTTAAGTGACTTGCCCATGGTCACACAGCTAGTAAGTGTCAAGTATCTGGTCTGAGACTAGATTTGAACTCAGGTCCTTCTGACATCAGGGCTGATTCTCTATCCACCGCACCACCTAGCAGCCCCAGTGGTTTGGTCTTTGATAGCATATGCCATCATTAAAAAAAAATTATTGGGCACCTATTGTGTGCCAAATATTCTTGTCCTTCCAGAGAACATTAACAACTCAAGTGAAGGTGTCACAGTGTAGTGAAGAGAACCCAGGATTTGGTGTCAGAAAACCTAGGTTCAAATTCTTGCCCTGCTACTCATCCCCTCTGTAAAGTGGGTTGGTGATAAATCAGATGACCACTAAGGTGCACCTCCCCCCAAGCTCCACATTCTGTGGTCCCAGAATTGTCACCACTGTGATATGGCTACAAACAAAAGGGAAATTAACTGGGCTAATTATAAGACTCTTATTTCCCAGCTCCTGAAACTCTACTCCAGAGAAATCCAGGGTCTGGCTATTAGTGTCTCTCTGGAGTCATAAATCTTAGCCCCCGGGAGTAAAGAACAATACCAGGGCAGGGGGAGGTGGGGCTGGGGAAGGAGGCAAGCTGCCCTTTGGCAGGTACTGGGACAGCCTGGTGCCCAATGTGGCTCCCTTGCCAAAGATCACTGGGATACGTGGGCCCTGGGTTCACCTGCCTGGGTAGCACTGGCTGCCAGCAACTCCCTGTACATCCCCACACACTTTCCTTGGCTGCCTTTGTCAGGGGTGAGGGGCCGGCCACGGTTGGCGGCTCGATCCTTCCAAGGCGTTTCAATCAGTTTAAAATAGACTTACATTTAAAGAATTTAAATCAATGGCAATAGCCAACCTTGACCCAAGGGGCCTAATAATGAAACCCGTTAGCCACCTCCTGGCCCAAAGAGACGACTCAGGCTACAGAATGTGAGATAGAGAGATTACACACATACATACCTAAGCATACCAACGTGGAAATTTATTTTGCTAGACTATGCATATCTGCTATCAAGGTTTTGTACTTCCCCCCCCTCCCAGGGGTGGGAGGGAGAGAAAACAAATGCTTGTTAACTGAAAAGAATTGAAAAGCACACCCTCTTGAGCCCAAGACAAGGTGCTGACTAGACTCATGGCTCCACCTCTGCCAGCATCACTCAGAACCAGAAAGGACCTTAGAGACTGAGTCCCACCCACTCGTTTTGTAGAGAAGGAAACTGAGGCCCACAGGGGTGAAGGGACCCAGGCTCACACAGCTAGTAAGTACGCACAGCAGGATTTGAACTTCCGTCTTCCTGACTTTGGCTCTTTCACTCTTTCCGTGACTCTACCTAATAGCACTTTTGTTCAGTCATTTCAGTCCTGTCTGACTCTTTGTGACTCTACTTGGGGTTTTCTTGGCAGAGATATTAGAATGGTTTGTCATTATGTTCTCCAGCTCATTTTACAGATGAGGGAATTGAGGTAAACAGGGTTAAGTGACTTATCCAGGGTCACACAGCTAGTAAGTATCTGAGGCCAGATTTGAACTCAAGCCTTCCTGATTCCAGGGCTGGCACTCTATCCACTGTGTTCATTTCTATTCATAATAATAGCAATAACAGCTACGCCCATTTGAACAGTGCTTTTAAAGTTTGTTTACAGAGACTTTCCTCACAGCCACCATGAGAAATAGGTAGGACAAATATCCCCATTTTTCAGATGAGGAAACTGAGGCTCAGAAGTAATTTAGTAACAAAGTTCCCCAGTTCCTCAGGATCACAGATGGGGACTTGAACCCAGGCCTCCTGACTTCATCAGTTCTCTCATAACCATGATTATCTGTCCATAGTAGGCACAGGGGTCAGGAGCCCCAAGGCCCTCAGGGCTGCCGATTTCTAAGCATCTTAGCCTAAAGGCTCTCCTCCTACTCTGGGGGCCTGAACTCTCCTGGCCAAAGGCATCCCACACAACCAGCACCACCTGTCTCAGGGCAGCCAGAGGCAACTTCCATCCAAGGCCACCTTCCCAGGGCCTTGCTGGAAACAGAGGCGGAGGAAATTCAGCTGGAGTGGGGTGGCCCTGGGGACTGGCCAACATTTTGAGGGGTGGTAGGGAATGGGGCAAAGGGCCAACCACTAGGGCTCCTAGCACCTGGTCTGCCCTCCCCTCCCAGGACCCCCAGACAGCCCCTGTCTCCACTCTATGAGTCTTTTGTGTGTCTTCTTTTCCTTCTCCCTCATGGTACTGCCTTTGGCTTCCGCTGTAGATTTCTAATTTGTTCCTGGTTTTGTCCAAGGGCCCGTTTCCCTCCGATCGCCTCTTTGTGTGTTGAGCCGTTTACTGGGCATGTGGGGGTGGGAGAGGGACAGGGGATGGATGGACAGAGAACATAAACTCTGCCACCCACCTCGGGCAGCTTGGCCTCCCCCAGATCCCTCCTTCCTTTCCCCCCTCCCAGGGTTCTAAGGATGCAGCCCTTTGGGAGATCAGACACACAGCCTATCTGCCCTGGGCTCTCTCTGATACCAGAGATACTCAGAAGCCAGAAGGGCTCCCTGCCAGGCAGTGTGCGGCCAGAAGATTCTGAGCTCACTAGGTCATTTAGTCTGACACCCTCATTTTTATAGAAGAAGAGCTGAGGGCCCAAGAGGTCAAGCGATTTGCTCAGGGTCACAAAGGTAACATGGCTAAGACAACAGTTCTCCGACTCCAAATATAGTCTCCCCCTTTCCACTGGTGACTGTCGTTCAAATCTGGATTCTGTTGAACTCCATTTCCTGTATGTAAAATGAAGAGGCTGGGCTAGACACTCTCTCAGCTTCATCCCAGCTTAAGATCTCAGGATCTAATCAGCTATCCTACAACTGCCTTCACCACAGAAGGCCTTCGAGCAGAGGTGACAATTACTCAGGTCCATGTTGGAGCTGATGCCCTCAGAGGGTCTGAAGTTTGAACTGATTCTAAACCAGTACTTTCTTCCTGTCCTACAAAAGGACTTTAAACACAATCTATTCCATTATCACACATCTCCCCCTACCCCCGAGATATTATCAACCGTATCTGACCTTGGGCAAAAACCCCTGTCTTTCCCTGGGTCTCAGTTTCCTCCTCTGTAAGATGGGCAGGGGTTGTATTAGAAGATTGCTAAGGTCCATTTCAGCTCCAAATCTCCTGAAATTCCTATAAAAATCAGGCACGTTGTTGACAGGGGCAGAGGTGGGGTTTTTTTTTGTTTGTTTAAAGAAAAGGAGGCAATTCATTTTCACCCTTTAAAAAATGCACATACCAGCAATGGCTAGGGACCATAAATCAGTGACAAGGAAATAAGCTTGTTGGTGGAAAACAGGTGTGCCTGTATTTGTGTGTGTGTGTGGAGTAGTTATGGGGGAGGTATGAAAGGGGAAGGATGGGGGCACGAAGGAGCAAAAAGGGAAAAAAATCTGTCAGTGCTACAGGGTGCACGGGTCTTGGGGACCACGTGCACCCCTCAACAAAAGCAGACTGACCAGCCGCAGCTCTTTCCAGGGTCCTTCACTCGACACTACCCCCTCCCCATCCACTGATCACTTACTTACTGGGGGAAAGGCTGTGACCACCCATCTTTACTTGAATGACCAATTAAAACTGGGCACTGCACTTGGAATAATTAACAGGCTGAGCATCCGTTGAATAATTAGGAGAGGCCTTGCCATTCTGCCCGAGCCGGAATCCAGTCTAATTGTATAATGGGCCTAATGGAGGCCTGTACCGAAAGGGCGATGTAATTGGCTGTACCATCGCTTCTTTAAAGGTGCTGCATACCCCGAATAAACAGATATAGTTGGGGGAGAGAGATAATTTTGCTTTTTTTCTGTGGTGAGAGAAGACAGCTGGACAGCTGTAGAGATGCAAGACTGGCTGCTGAAGGTAACTTGGCTCTGGCAACTTCAGCAAGTAATCCCAGGGCAGGATAGAAAGGGAGGGCCCAGCTTTTCCTCCTGATTAGGAGAAAGGCTCCCCCCACCCCACCTGCTTTCCAGTCACCTTGTTCACACTTGTCTTTAACACACTTCGCTTGTGATGTTGTATATTACAGTCATCTGGGATGTGTCTGCTAGTGCCCTTTCCTCCCAAATCACGTTTAACTAAGTTACATTTATTTGTATTTCTTTAAAAAAATTTTTTTCTTCTATATCCTTGTCTCCCCCATTACAACATAGACTCATTGAAAGTAGGGGTTGTTTCATTCATCTTTGTACCCCCCAGCACCTGGGACAGCGACCAGCAGACAGCAGGCACTTACTAAATGCTGGCTCATTCTGCTATTGGACTGTGAGTTCCCAACAGGCAGGTCTTGATCTATTCTTTCCTTTGCTGTTGTTTCAGTAGCTTTTCAACCGCGTCCAACTCCCCATGACCCCATTTGGAGTTTTCTTGGCAAAGATACCGGAACGGTTTACCTTTTTCTTCTCCAGCTCATTTTACAGATGAGGAGACTGGGGCAAACAGGTTTCAGTGACTTGCCCAGGGTCACAGAGCTAACAAGTGTCTGAATCTGGATTTGAACTCATGAAGATGCGTCTGCCTGACTCCAGGCCTGGCGCTCTATCCACTGGGCCACCTACCTGTCCTTCTTTCCTTTGACTTCCCCCAAAACTAAATGCAACAGAGGGTGGGGGCAGAAATCCACATTATGGGCGTTAGAAAAGAGAACTTTATAAAGGCTGTCAAAGACGCAAGGGGGTGTCAATCATTCCTTTCTACCGTCTGCTATAAAGCCTTACTCACCATGGAGAGGCAGGTGAGGAAGATCAGTCTCCGTCGGTTGCTCTGGCACAGCTAGAGGTAAATTGTATATGAACAGATAATCAATGTATATAGAGCTCTGTGCATATTAGCCCCCAAAATGTTTTCATATCCATTCTTAGAAATAAGCTGTCCCCGAGGGAGGCAGGACAAGGCTCACTGTCCCCATTTCACAGTCAATAAACATTTTTTAAATGCTTACTATGTGCCACGCACTGTGCTAAGCATTGAGGCTATGAAGAAAGGCAAAAGACTTGCTCTCAAGATGTCTAATGGGGGAGACAACATGCAAACAGCCACGAACAAACAGGAGGGATACGGCACCAATGGGAGATGATCGACCGCGAGGGGAGTAGGAGAAAGGTGGGATTTTAGCCGGACTCGAAGAAAGGGATGGGGGCCTGTGGAAGGTCTGGTGTGAGGGACAGCAGGAGGCGGGAAGTAGAGTGTGAAAAGACTGGAAAGGATTGTGCGTGTGTGTGTGCGTGCGTGCGTGCGTGTGCGTGTGTGCATGTGTGTGTGTGCACCGCGTGCCTGCACTCTGAAGGGCTTTGAATGCCAAACAGAGGATTTTTTATTTGATCCTGGAGGGAAGAAGGAGCCACTGGAACATACTGGAATGTGACACCTGCTGAGTGGCGGATGGACTGGAGTGGAGAGAGATTGTGGACAGACCAGCCAGCAGGCTATTGCAACCGTCCAGGCATGAGGTGATTAGGAAAGTGAGCCTGAGGAAATCTAGTCTTTTGTCTAAGAACTGAAGCCACTGAGGAGGCAGAGCTAGGAATTCATCCCAATTCTCCCAAGGACTAGTCTAAATGCTCTTATTTTGCTTGGGGGTGGGGGTGGATGGAATGGAATGGCTGGGAGTTGCATGAATATTTGTTCCCTCTTGAAAACCATCAGATACTAGACTTTAGAACTGGAAGGAACCTTAGAGATGATTGAGCCTAGCCTTCCTCACATGGGGGAAACTGAGGGCCAGAGAGGGTAAGGGACAGGTCCAAAATCACATACGGAATAAGTGGTAGGAATCGGAAGGGACCGTGACATCACAGAGTTGGAACGCCTGAGACCTCGTGTTTACTAAGTCTCTTCCCTGCCCCAAGCTAAGTGGCTGAAGACCTCAAGAGATGGGGAACTCATTACCTCTCCCAAGGCAGCCCATTCAACCTCTGGACAGCTTGATGGTTAGTTAGGAAGCCTTCCCTTATACACTGTGCCAAAATCTACCTCTCTGACCCCAAATCTGGGGTTCTTTCCACTGCACCATGTCTCCAAAATAAATGCCTTGGGTAACATTCAGTTCAAAACAATCCAGTTTCTACCAAAGATGGGAATTTCTCTGTCACCTCTGGTCTCAACAGCCTATGGGGCCTTCAGGACTCAAATGTTCGGTGGGCAAGAGCCAAAGAATGAAGGTGCCTGGGGCTGCTCCTGCCCTGGGCTTAGGAGTGTCCTTGTATCTGGGACTGAATGGTCTACACCTACCTTCCTACCTACAGCCTGGCTTCAGGCCTTTCCTGCTCACTGCAGCCCTCAGACTGGATCTGTCATCTCAGCCAAAGTGGAGAATGGGGCTTTTTATATCTTCACATGTGTGGCTTACATGATCCTTCCCTTCCCCAGCATACCTTCTCCCTCTCTCCTCCAAGAACAGAGAAAGGCTCTCTTAACCTGGGCTAAAAATACACGTGGCATCTCAAAAAAAAATATCCACACGGGGGCAAAAGAAACACACACACACACACACACACACACACACACACCCTCCCTCCCCTCGGGCACAAAAAGTCCTTCATTTGGGGATTCTGGTTGCTAAGATCTGCTGATGTTTGCTGCTATTTTGTGCGAGGGAAGAAGGGAGAGCTGTGCCTAAATGAGGAGTTTTGTCCCTCCCGCACCCCACCCCCCATATTAATGAATAAGCTTCAGCAGCCCGCAACTGCTGCTGATGGGGCCACTTGGCACCTGAGCCTGTAATTACTGTCCCTCCCCTTACAAGGCTCCAGGGGAACAAACCCAGGACAGTGAGGACCTGTCTCAGAGAGGCTGGATGCTGAGCACCGAAACAGATTTCCAGCCAGGCTGAAGAGGAGCCAATATACATACAGCTGACCTGGAACTCAAATACAGGGCATTTGTTGAGCAAGACACACACACACACACACACACACACACACACACACACACACACACACACACACACACACACACATGCACTCTCTCTCTCTCTCTCCAAGGTATGTGTTTAAAAAAAAAAGACAAACCACCCAAGCCAAGATCACTGCAGACAATCTGATGAGAGGCAGCTCCTGGGCTCCGAAGGCCTGCGGCCCAATCCCAAAGCATTAGGGCAGGAGGATACAGTGCTCCTGAAGTCAGGGAGCCCAGAGGGAAAGGTTAAAAAAAAAAGCCTTTCAACACGGGAGGGGCCCCCACTCTTCCTGTGCTGTGGCTTAGGGCCCCTCATTTTCCATGCCACAACTGTCTTTGGGCGGCTGCTTGGTTCTATTTCTAAGCTCTACTTGAACGAATGCTGATTAGCCACCTAATGCTAGGGAGATACTGAGTTTAGAGAAGAAATGGCCCCTGCCCTCCACAGTCTAGTCTGACCATTAACAACACCTAGCACATTTTCAGAGTGTGTTAAGGTTTACATACAGAATATTATGCTCAAATCCGGTGAAGCAGAAGGACAATTGTGCTTACCCTCATGTTATAAATGGGGAGGCTGAAGCTCAAAGAAGCTTTGCCTACATTTGTCTGATTTGTCTATAATCACAAAGCAAGTAAATATTTCAGCTGGTTTAGAAACTAGTCTTATAAGAGCAGTGCTCTTCCCAGTATGCTCTATCATCTCCTCTGATAACTACCTTGGAAAGGGGAAACAAGTCACTTTGTGAGGTCCAAAGGAAGTTATTACCAATGAGGATGGGGGAAGAGAATCATGGCAGGCTTCCTGGAAGAGGTGGTATAGTGGACTGGGCCCTGGAATCTGAGTAAGAAAGATCTGGTTTCAAATTCCATCAGAGCAGCAATATTGTTCGATGCAGAACTGTGAATGACTTAGCTCTTCTCAGAAACACAATGATCCAAGACAATTCCAAAGCACCAATGATGAAGCATACTTTACACCTCCAGAGAAAGAACTGATATTTTTTACTTTCTTCCTTTCATTTTTTTCTTTTATTTGAGTCTTGTTGTACAAAATGACTAATATGGAAATTTTCTACATGATTACACATGTATAACCTACATCTGACTGCTCACTGTCTCAGGGAGGGGGCAGGGGAGGGATAGAATGTGGAACTCAAAACTTTGAATAAAAATGTTAAAAATTTTAAAAACAAGCAAATTCCACTGGAGGCGTTTATTGGCTGTGTGACCCTGATCGAATCACTTGACCAGTCTGTGTTTCTCCTGTCTAATTGCATGAACAAAGGCTGGAAGGTTACAGGCTGAAGGGTGGGACAGACAGACCCATCCAGTTTGGATGGGCTGAATGGAGGGAGAGAGAGGGAGGGAGAGAGAGGGAGAGAGAGAGAGGGAAGAGAGAGGAGAGAGAGAGAGAGAGAGAGAGAGAGAGAGAGAGAGAGAGAGAGAGAGAGAGAGAGAGAGAGAGAGAAAGGAGATAAGTGTGAGACGGCAGTGTGCCATCCACCATCATTTTTCAGTCTCCCTCCTTCTAGACTTCAGTTTTTCCAGGACAGGGCTAGGTAACCTCTGTATCCTTGTTTCAGGGATATTGAAAGGTACCATGGCATTCTGGTACTGGATTTGGAGTCGGGAAAACCTGGGTTCAAATCCTGCTTCAGGCACTCTACTAGCTGTGTGGACCTGGGCAAATCCCTTAATGTCTCTCAGCCTCAGTTTCCTCATCTGTAAAAATGGGCATCATAAAAGCACCTACTCCCTGCCAGAGTTGTGGCGCTGATATTTATAAAGCGCTCTGCAAACCTTACAGAAACATCCGTTATTGTTATTTATCCTCAATATAATAATTCACATTTCTACAGTGTTTTAGGGTTTACAAAACACTTTTCTACCCAAAACCTTGTGAAGTAGTGAAATTATTAGCACTCTTATTCTAATGGTGAACAAAATTGAGGCCCAGAGAGGGCAAAGTCCTGACTCACCCAAAATGGGGGAAAGTTCAGAAGGTGCATTCTTGCTCCCAATCTTATGTGACCTAGGAGAGTTTACCGTGCACTGACCTGGTCAGAGTTAGCAGGAGGTGAGAAGGTAACAGGGCATAGTGGGGAGGGGGAGGATTTCCTCCCACGGATTTGGTGATCCAAGCCCTCTGCTGGTTTGGTAGAACCCAGGTCTAGAGAAAGCCCATGGGCAGAAATTAAAGATGCATCTGATTGGATAATCATATTTTGCTCCCTTCAGCAAATTAAGGAGCCTTCCCACACACCCCCAAGGAATGACAAGGCCAGAGACTGCTCTCAGAGTGAATGAGTAACCCCACCTTTCAGCTTCCATCTGAATAAGGCACCCACTGCCTCCCCCACCCACCAAAAAGAGAAAAAAAGGACCCCCAAGCCCTTACCTGTGTCTTCTCCTTCATCCTCATCATCTTCATCATCACCAGAGGATGGAGACTCTTGGAAAATAGAAAAAGGTGGGGAAGAAGGGATGGGGAAAGAAAGAGCATGCATCACTCTAGGTCTGAGAGGGCGTCTAGCCTGGATTAGCCAGGGCTACAGACAAGACAAACTTCACACCCACCTCTTGCCCGTGTGCATATCAAGTCCCCACTACTAGAAAGTAACCTCTTATCTGGCCAACCAGAAGCAGGGCCCCAACTCTGCATAGCCAGAAAACAGAAGTCTTGGACAGGGTGCCCGACAGAATCTGAGTGTCTGAGGGAACTTACAGTCCAGCCTCTTTGTAAGGGCAGGAATCCCTCGTAGACCTTTACAAAGTGGGGGAAAGAAGTGGGTGTGTTCACTCAGCCTCTGCTTAGATACTTCCTGGGATGGGGGGCTCAGTGTTCACAGTGCAAGTCCCTCCCATTGCTGGATGGTTGTTAGGAATGATGGGTAAAGATGCATAACTGTGCTTTGAAAGCCTTCAGTATTATGACCAGAAAGTCCCTAGGCAGATAATGGGAGTCCTGTCTATGTGGCATCCTTTACACTTTCAAAATGGCAGTCTTTCTTGAGATGTGGGGAACGCAAATAATTAAAACTGCTTTAATTTAATACGTCTGCTTGTTTCTGGTCTCCTCCATTTATCTTACTGCTTTCTTAACCGACGATATGACTACTTTACTCAAAAATCTTCCATGGCTCCCAACTGCCTCCCCAGCATCGAAAGCCCACCAGAGCCTAGTGAAAAGAGTTCTCCCTGCCACACATACTATGCTCCAGTCCCAAACTGGAATAACTCTCTATGCAGTGAATGTATTGGGCCTCTGTACCTCCCCTGGCCTATGCCTCAGGTGCCTTCCTTCTTCCCTTTTTTCTCCTGGCCAATCTCTTCTGGTCCCAGCTCAAAATGGTTACTTCCTCCAGAAAGCCCACCCACCCTGTAAACAACCTTCCCTCTGCTTGTTTCTCTCTACTGCCCTGTCAGGTAGAACTGTGAACTACAGTTATCCACATAAACTCTGAGGGCAGGGGTCCTGTCTTATCTAAACCTGGTCTCCAGAACACAATAGGAGATTTATAAATGTTTAACAAATTTAAAAAATCATCGATAAAAATAATAGCAGTCAGTGAAGTTTTAAGAGCACTCCAAAATTGTTAACAGTACTTTCCCCACCATAATAATCCTGTAAGACAGGCAGTACCATTATCCCCACTTTACAGATGAAAAAACTGAGTCTCAGATGAGGGAAATTATTTGCTTATGGTCACATAGCTAATTAGTGTCGGAGTCAGGACTCAAACCCCGATCTCCTGATTTTAAGACCCGCTATCTTTTCCTTGCACTGGGGCTGCCACAGATTATAAAGGGCATAGTGGGTCAGTGGAAAGGAGGGCTGGATTTTGAGTCAGAAGCCCTCTTGTTCTGCCAGGTACCACCTTGGCAATTCTGGGCAAGTTACTTAACTTTTCTGGGCCTCTTCAAAATGAGGGGCTTGGAGGGGAGAGCCCTGTAAGCCCTAAGTGTATGGTCTTCCCAAGCCATGGCTTTTAAGTCAGGGCACAGGTCCCAGTACCAAGGGCTCAGATCAATCAACCTCTATGGCCAGGCAAAGTCTGCCTGAATCCCTGCAGACCTGTCCCAACTAGGAGACTGGGGATGACAATTCCCTTCCTGAGCAGGGTCTGGAGGGTGTTGAGAGGAGACCCAGCCAACCCAAGTCATTAGCCCCAGAAGTCTGGCAGGTGAGGAGGGAAGCAGAATAAAGTCAACTTATTTTAGCTTCAAGAATCCCCTCCCCAATTCTGTCCTTTCCTCTCACCACCCTCCCCCGCAGTACCTCGCCTGAGGTTGGGTCTGTCATCTCCAGGGTTAAAGGAGAACCTGTCCTGTTGTTCTTTACAGACCAGGTCCTCTCTGAGCTCATCCTCACTGCTAAGACAGGCCATGTACTAAACAGGACACCAGAATTGGAGGGAGAGCACCTGGCTTTGAACCACCTCTCTATTTACTACCTGTGTGACCTTGGGCAAGTCATTTCAGTCGATCAACTAACATTTATTAAGCACCTACTATGTGCCGCACACTTCTGAGAGTCACCTGGAAGCTCCCTTTTGACTCTAAAGCTATGAGCCATTATGAAGGGTATGTATTCCCCAGACAATAGGGGAACATCCCCATGCTCAGGATCATAGGAAAAGCCCCTCTCTCCCCACTGTGCCAATGCCAAGTCTACAGAGCAGGTGGGCACTGAGCCCCTGCTCAGCGAGTGATAAATGTGCTACCTTTATACCGAGATGTCATACTCCCTTTACTCCTATTGGGAGAATGGACTTTGTACTGTCTCCAACAGTGGGGATGGGCATCAGTAAACCATTCACACCCTCATGCCATCCTCTAGACCAGAAGTGTCAATCAAACACCTTACTGAATGTGGCCTATAGCACACTGAATGTGACACAAACCAGTTAAAATGGAATTGGCAAACATTTAACAAAATAAGTAAAAATTCAATAAAACAGATAATATTACATTTTAAATCTTAGTCAATGTGCGGTCTGCAGGGATCTGTATGTACCATTCAGTGGCCCCCCTGTTTCTGTTTGACACCCCTGGTCTAGACACCCTCTGGTCAGGTCAATAACATAGACTGAAGCCAACAGCGGGAGTCTGGACCCATGACTGTGGCCTCATTCACATCATGCTCTAACTGGTCAGAAGACACTTCAAAACCAGCCACTTCTCCTGCCTTGGGTGAAGTGGGAAGAAACAAGATACTTGAGCTGTAGGGCTAAGACAAGAGACCCCAAAGTACTCGGGACCTTCCTTGGCTTTCCCAAGGCCACTGCTGCCTTGGCTGTGATTTCCAGAGAGCCAGGACACCTGCGATTTCACTGGGCCAACACTAGAAACATGCAGATTACAGTCTACCTCCTCCCTCTTAGCCTGTGTTTCTCTTATCCAGAAGCTTCCATAAACCACTCCTAGAACATCCCTACCACCCAGGGTGTCCTTGGAAGCCCCCTCTTGGCCATCTTACATTCTCTGGGTAGACTTGGGGGGCATCTTTTTATTAAAATATATTTAGGACCAGAGGGCTATAAATCTAGATTTAAAACAAGAGACAGAAGAGTTAGAGCCAAAAGGGACCTTGGAGGTCATTGAGTCCAAGCCCTCATTTTACAGATGAGGAAAATGAGGCCTAGATTTGCTATGGTCACATAGGAATGATTTGCTATGGTCACCTAGGTAGCAAGCAGTAAAACCAAAATTTAAACCCCGCTTCTCTGGCTCCCAATCCAGTGCTCTACCCACCATGCTACCTTGCTGCTATTATCACATGGTTCTTGGCCATTATGATCCCTGGGAAACAGGCTAGGCTGCTGATATTAACCTCATTTTATAGTTGGGGAAACTGAGGTATATAAAAGGATAAGACTTTGCCTGCCATAAGTCAGTGACAGAGCCTTGCTGCACACAAGCATCTACTCACCCCAGGTCTGGTACCCTTTCCTCTGGGCAATGTGGGGGTATAGGGTTAAGGGCACCCAAGCAGAAGCTGAGGGAAGGCTGTGGGCAGGCTGTCCCTGAAGTGATAGCCTCCTAATTCCTGGGGCTACTGCTGGGGCCCCCCCTGGAGTTCCTTCCCATACTCTAGCTACAGTCCTGGCACAGGACAGAGAACTGGGCAGAATCAAGTCAGAGGTAGGGATGGAGAGCCGTAAGCCAGGACCACCAGGAAAGGAGCTCAAATTACCTATTTATGTTGGGGTTATTATTAGCCACGGGGGGAAAGCATGGAGGTGGAAGGAGTCCAGGGAGGAGAGTTGGGGAAGAAGGGAGACAGGGTTCTTAAGAATTTTCACTTTATCAGTTCCTCAGGCTGGCTGGCTGCTTCCCCCAGGCATGTCCTCACTCTGAGACACTCTTCCTCTTAATGCAGTCCCTCCCCCCTCCCCCGACAATCTGAGCTGTCATATTGAAGGTAGTGAGCTCCCTGTCACAAGAGGGCTTCAAATTCAGGCAGTACAAACCATTTATTCTGTTAACCTAGAAGCCCATGGAGACTCCATGATGCTCTGAGGTTATGTGATGGTAATCATTCCTTCCCCAAAGGGACAGACACCTCTCCTGGCCCATCTCTCCCTGGACACCTCCTGAAGCTCTCCAGTCTTAATAACTGCGCTGTTAAATGGCCCTGAGGGAATCTAATTTCTCTCTTAACCATTTAATTGATGTAACCTTGAAATGTCTGGCCAGGCCTTCGCAGGGAGCTCGATGCAAAGCAGATGTGGGCAAGGATGGGTTTGGCTTGGTTGGAACAGATGGGATTTTTAATCTATGGGCAGAATGGAACTGAACCATAGAGGCTTCTGGTTATGTTATCAGGTAAGCGGAGAAGCCGCAGGCCCAGGGGACAGGAGCACATGGAGGGATGCTGAAACGCTTTCAGTTTCATGGGGTTTCACAAGAATCCATGTCTCATTCGGCACAGCCTGGGAAATTTCACTGGGCTTGTACCAGGAACAAGTAGGTGACAATTAGTTGATTCTGCTAAAGCAATTTCTATTTAGTCACTTTTTTTTCCTCATTCTTTATTCCCAGGAATGGCTCAATGGGTAAGGAAGTGATCTATTCATCAGTGAAGGTGATGTAAGAACACCTTCTAACTTTCTTGACACTGACTTTGGGCAAGTCCCCCTTCCCCCAACCAGAGCCTCAGTTTCTCTCTATAAAATGAGGAGATTGGATAAAGATGATCTCTAAGGAACCTTCTAGCTCTGACACTCTGTGCGCTAAGGTCCTTCCAAGCTAGATATCTTATAACTCTATCATTTGTGGGACAATGACATAGTAGTAACCAGGTATGCGGAATCCTTAGCTTGCAAGGAAGATTTTTTTTAAGACCTAGTGGAAAGAAACCACAGTGGTTCCTACCCAATTTCAGAAAATAACATGGCCCAAGTCTGGGGGAATCTAATCGGTCTCTTAACCATTTAATTGATGTAACCTTGAAATATCTGGCCAGGCCTTCACAGGGAGCTGGATGCTGAGCTCTGGGCCCATAGGTGCTAATCTCTTCAGGTAACACTTGCTTCATGAATTTCTCCATCAACCACAAATCCACTCCCCAGGCATCTTTATTGTTCAGGGGGCCCTGCTGAGTAATCTCTCACATTTATAGAAAACAAAGCCCATTTTCTCATTATAAATACCCACGCTAAAGGAGGCCTGATAGGCATTACTATCCTCATTTGACAATTGAAGAAACTGAGGCTGCTTATATCTACAAGCCCAAGGTCATACAGCTAGTTAGCACTACCTACTGAACCAAGAGCCCAGGGCTCTGGACTCTGAGCGCAGTCCCCTCTCTGAAGTAATTATTAATACCAACTTAGAGCACTTTTAAAAACCACTTTTCATCTACATTCTTTTATTTATTATCGACAATTCCACAAGAAGGAGGGGAGAGAAACAGCAGGAAAAAAAAAAGTTCTGAGAATCGGGGTTAGGAGACCTGAGTTTAAATCTCAGCTCAGTTATAACTAGTTTTGTGACCTGAGGCGAGCCTCAGTCTCCTCATCTGTGAAATGGGGCTAACACCTACCTACCTCACACTGTGTGGAAAACACTTTCTCAAGCTTTAAAGCATAAATAGATCATGATTCATGTGTTTATAACTATGTGGATTCACACATCATAACAGTGTAATTCATGTAATCATAATAATGACTACTTCCATTTACTAGATGAGGAAATTGGGATTCAGAGATGGGATGAGGTGTATTACATCTAGAGCAGGCGTGAGATGTAATGGCAGTTGTCTTCAAATGAAAATGAAGTAATGTGGTATGGGGAAACAGGGCCATGGATCTGCAGTCCAAGGCCCAGTTTAGATTAAAGTCCAGGCTCAACCACGGACAACCTGAGGAGGCTCAGTGGGGCTGTGTATTTGGAATCAGGAAGCCCCTGGTTAGAATCCAGCCTTAAACACTTCCTAGCTATATGATCCTGGGCAAGTCACTTGATGATTTGCCTCAGTTTTCTCAACTGTAAAATGGGGCTAATAATGGTACCTACCTCTTGGGGTTGTGAGATGATAAATGTAAAGGGTTTAGCACAGTGGCTGGAGAACATTCATAAATGCTCATCATCACCCTTACTATGCCCTTTCCTCACAGACAGATGGAACTAGAAGTATGAGCAAGTGGAAGAGGCATTTTTGGGCTGAACAGAAAGTCAGCGTGTTTCAAAGTAGATGGGAATGCCTCAGGGGAGTAGGCTTCCTATCCCGAGCATGACGGGGTGGAGGAAGGTCCTCCAAGAAGTTACATGGCTACCACACGTCTAGGCTGCTGAATTCTGGATGCCCTCTGAGGCCCCTCCCAGCTCTGACACTGGCTAGCTCAAGGTCATTAAGCCATTTGGTGATGGAGGTGGAACTGGAGCTCAGCTTTAAGCCTGCTCTGAAGACAGGATGACCAGAACTTCCTCCCTTGAAGTCCCCAAAAGACACACAGCCCTGTTGGGGCAGGAGGCCCCAAAGGGGCTGGGGCTGACTCACTCACCAGTCACTCGGATGGTAAAGTTGCAGAGAACCTCACTGGAATGCTTCTGCTGGCAGGTGTAGATACCAGAGTCGTCATAAGACACATTGATGATTTTCAGCAGATCGGGCCCAATGTGGGTCCTGTTGGTGGGGAAGATTGCCACGCCGTCCTTGAACCAGGCCAGCAAGGACGAGTCTTGGGCCTCGCATCCAAGCTCGATGCTCTCCCCACTTGAGAAGACCAATTCCTGCTGACTCCTGGCCTCACTTCTCAGTGGCTCTGCGGGGGAAGGAGAAAGCAAGGCGTCTATTCAGCGGATGAATGCAAAATGAGTGTCCACCATTCACAGAGCATAAAACCTTCCTCCTCCTTTAAGGCTTAGTTCATACTCTTCCTCCTCTGTGAAAGGAAGCCTTCTCAGAAGGGGGAATGTCCTTTCCTTTAGCTGTTAGTGCCTTCCACCCAAATTATCCTAGATTTCTTTTGTTTACACACACACACACACACACACACACACACACACACACACACACACACACACACTGTCTCCTCCAATAGACTGTAAGTTCTTTGAGGGCAAGGTTTGTTGAATTTGATCTCTGTAGCCTCAGTGCTGGTGACTAATAAAAGCTTGTCCACTGATTTTATCTTTGTACCCCCAGTATACAGCATAAAGTAGGTACTAAAGAAATGCTTGTTAAATGATAAAAGAAAGACTTCCCAGAGAAACTCAGGAAGACTTACATAACACGGATGCACAGTGAAATGAAGCAGAACGAGGAATACAATTACAACAACACTGTAAAGGCCACAACTCTGGTCAAAGCAATGGCCAGACAGGATGAGTTGACCATAATGCATGAGAAGATAATGCATCTTCCTGATGGAAGAGATGGATTTGGGATACAGAAATGAGATGTTATTTTTGGGACACAGATTTGACGATGCATATTTGCTAGAAGAATTTTCTTTTTCTTTTTTCCAATAGGGGAAGGAGAGAAAAATGCATTTTTATTAACTGAAAAAAATTGCTATCTATATATAATCAAGCAAACCACTCCATCTCTCTGGGCCTCAGTTTCCTCATCTGTAAAAAGGGAGGTTGGTGGGGCACCTAGGCGGCCAAGTGGATACAGCACTGGCCCTGGATTCAGGAGGAGCTGAGTTCAAATCCAGCCTCAGATACATAACACTTACTAGCTGTGTGACCCTGGGCAAGTCACTTAACCCCATTGCCTAGCCAAAAAAAAAAAGGGGGGGGAGGTTGGTGCAGATGATCTATAAGGTTCCTTCCAACTCTAAGATTTTGGAGAAAGCAGCTAGGGATGTTAAGGAGGGAAGCTAGACCTCAGAACTGAAAATTCTGTTTTCCTCCCCCCTCTTCCTCCTCGGTCTACTGACCTCACCAGATATTATTACTCATTTAACCCCCAGCAAGGTTTGCAGTCCAATTTGACCCACCCCTTTTGCCAAACAACATTTGGGGCCATCCTATGTGGACTTTGGAAAACAGTCACACGATGAATGCCTGTGGACATACCGAAATGAACCCAATTGAGAGATAGTTCCTTGGACAAAACCAAGATGGTCTTTCTTGGTTTTTAATAATTATAGTGTACTTATTTTGCATAGCCTGTCTTCGATCAAAAGTAAGCTCCAAGAGGGTAGGGATTGTCTTCCCTTTGTCGGTTCATCCCAAATGCCAAGGACACAGTAGGTGCTTAATAAATGCATATTACTCCACACCAGCCAAATCAGACCACCATGTCCCCTCCAACCTTTGCATGCAACCTCCGTGCCTCTGCATAGTATTCTCTAGGCCTGGAATGCCCTTGTTAAATTCCAATCAACTCCAACTCCACATCCTTCAAAAACAATCTGGATATGCTATCAAGAGCATCCTTTCTCCTCCTTCTCAGAGGGCACCAAACATTTTGCATAGAATGATAGGGAGAGAAGGGAGAGAATAAGCATTTATCTATGTTTATGTCTTATCACAAGAGCCGATTGTTAAATTTTCATCATGAATGTCTGTAAAAGGCTACAAGATCTGGGCTCAAAGAATTGATTTGTTGATTGTCTAGACTTAACAAAGTGCTGGAGAAAATCTAAATGAGGCAGATTAAACTTAAAAGTGTGTATACGTTCCCACCCTCCCCCTCCCCCAACCAGTGGTTAAACATCTACCACCAGCACACCCCTGCTTATCTACAGGTTAAGACCATGGCATCCCTGACCTCCTGGAGGTGGTCTCAGCCAAACTCTGAATCTCCCCCCACATCCTGCAGGCATTTCACAGACCTTGGTTGAAACCTGAGTTGGTGTGTATATGTTTGTGGGCTGTAAGCAGAGGCATGGGGTCCTCTGGAAAAAACCTAACAAAGAACAATAGGGCTAAAAAGACCACAAAAAGAGTACAAGCCAAGACAAATCCTACGTCCACCAGCCCTAGAATGACGCAGGCACCAAAGTCGGGGCCCAAACTCCCTGGTTCAGGCTCCGTCCCATGGGGAGATTGTGGGGTCTTGAGGTGGAAGGAACCTTGGAAAACACACATAGCTCAATTTCCCCACGTAAGGCCTGGGGAAACTGAGGCCTGGGGAAGGGCAAGGTCTTGAGGCCAGCAAAAATTCAAACCCAGTTCTTCTGATTCCAAATCCAGGATTCTTTGTACTGCCACCATGGAATCACAAAATCTAAAAATGTGGGAGCCAGAAGGGGCTGCTTGGCCCCCTCAGCATACCCCTCCAATCCCTAGGAGACAAAGACCTGCTTCCCGGAGAGGCTGCAGGGTGGGGTGGGGCACCTGGAGGAAAGGTCAACCCTTGGAGGCACGCCTACTCATAGCTTTAGAGCTCTGGGGCCTTATGATACCATTTGGAATTGCCTTGAGGGGAAAAAAAAAAGGTAAGATTCTTAGCAGTTGCTAAAAATACTATATTGCTGGGGGTGAAAACAAAGCAAAGAATGTATAGGACTGGACTGGTTGGGACAGGTCTGCAGCTGCACCCAGGCAATTGGGAGGAGAGGCCTGGGATGGACTTGTTTGCCATGAGATAAAGGGCTTGGACAAAGATTGTCTCCAGGGTCCCTGGCAGCTTCCAAGAGTCCGATTCCAGCCCCTCTGAACTTGCCAACCTTCACCAACTCCTCCAAGGCCCCTCCGGCCTCAGTTTCCCCCTCTGTAAGATGATGAAGGGGGACTGCTAAGGCCCCTTCTAGCTCTGATATTCCGTGTCATTGTTAGCACACAAAAAGATGACTGGGGAGTCTTTAGGTTTTACCAGACTGCCTGTCAAAGGGGGTCCTCAGACTGGAAAAACAAAATACAGGTGCCTGGGACAGAGAATAATCAATCACACGTGGACTGATCAGAATCTAGTCTCTGCTAATGTCCAGCTCTAACATTCTAGAAGACAGGTATACATGAGCTAAGGCTTTCAGCACAGTGCCTGACACACAGTGGGGGTATATAAATGCCCCCCCTCTCAGCCCTATTATTCAAAGCTTGAAGAAGGTTCATGATCCTCAGCCAGAAACTTGGCTTTAGAGGAAGTGAAGTGACTGACCCAAGGTCACACTGTGGACAATTAAACCACTAAAGGGTAAACCTAAGATTGTCAGGGACAGAAAGAACTTTGGAGCCAAAAATATTGAATGGGGTTGGGGGGTGGGGGGCTTAGAACATAGAGGACAGGGCTCATGGGAACAAGTTTGCTGGAAGGACCCTCAGAGCCCAGAATGTCTGGAAGGACCGTTAGAATACAGAATGCCAGAGCTGGAAGGGACTTTGGAACCCAGAATGTCAGGGCTGGAGGGACCCTTAGAACATAGAATGTCAGGGGCTGGAGGGACCCTTAGAACACAGAATATCAGGGCTGGAGGGACCCTTGGAACACAATGTCAGGGGCTGGAGGGACCCTTGGAACACAATGTCAGGGGCTGGAGGGACCCTTAGAACACAATATCAGGTCTAGAAGTCATCCTAGACCCCAGGCAGTTAGAACATACTGAATACAGAAAGTTAGAGCTGAAAGGGGTGGGGGAGGGTTGGTGGCAAAGCACAACAGAATCCAGTCTCCTCATTCCCAGGCAGCCACACCACTCCGGGAGTGGGGTGTGGAGAGACAACACCCGGGGTGTTGGCAGCAGCTCCAGGAGAAGACATCGGTCCCGCAGGGAGATGTGCTGGCTTAGATCTCCTTCCAGGTATCTCTGTGGGAATTTCACTCCTAAGGAGAAAGTATTTTCTCTGCCTCCTGATGGGGCCATGCTTGCCAGTCAACCAGGAGGGGTGGGTTTCAGGGCCTGTGGGGGCTCCCTGGGAAACCTCTCTGCTCTGACTCAGAACCTTTTTTTTTCTTCCTTCCATAAAAAGCCATTCTAAGTTGAAGGTGGGAGCCACCAGGCTTTTCTGAGTCACTGAGGTATTCTTAATTTAAAAAGGGGGTGGGGGTGGGTTGGGGCTGGGGAGAGAAAGAGGAGCAAGCTGCTATAAAACACCTTTTAGAACTTGAGGCAAGTTTCATGGTCTATGGTTTTGTACGGAGGGCAGTTCCCTGTGGGCCCTCTGCTATTAATTGAGGATAATGATGGTTTTATAGGCTCCTGTGAGTAAGTGAAAGGGAAAGGGGTAGCTGAGAGTCTCTGGGGCAGGAGGCTCAGAGGGACGACTTCAAAGCCCACTCCCAGCTCCTGCCTCACCTCCTGGCAAGTGGCCAGGCTGCTTCGGACCTCCTGCTCGCTGACTCCCTGCTAACAGGACCCGGGGAGCCCTCAGCAGCTGGACACACACCATCCATCCTCTGCCAGGGCTCTAATTCCAGCCCAGGGCCTAGGACCAAGTCATCCCCTGAAGGAAGGGGGCGATCAGTAAGCTTTGCCAGCTTCTATACTGAAAGCGTCTATATTTATAGATCTGAAAGAAGGGGGAGATGATACAGACGTGCTCTGTCTAGCTTATAGGATTGTTATGATGAAACTGCTCCTATAAACCTGAGACCTTGTAGACCTGGCTGGAAGGGGCGGTGTCTGTGAACTTGTTTTTATAAATTATTCTGACAACTACATTTCGCTAGAATTGATTTCCTTTGTAATCCAATGTATTTTATTTTATACCTTTAAAAAGATGACTGGGGAGTTCTTTAGGTTTTACCAGACTGCCTGTCAAAAGGGGTCCCCAGACTGGAAAAACAAAACAAAAAAACATTAAGAACGAAGAGGTGGCTGGACGGTGCAGTGGACAGACCACTGGAGTTTGGAGGACCTGAGTTCAAATT